CCTGGCCGGCCAGGGCCGGGCTCCCAGCCTCCTCGCTCTCCACCACTGCTCTCCTCCGGGCCAGGCCAGCCTGTGCTCCACGGGCAGGTGTCCCTCCTGGGCTGGGCGCCAGCTGTCTCGGTGGCCCTGGCTGGCAGGTGCACCTCTGCGTGTTCCTGGCAGGCGGAGGGCAGGGGTTGCGTGTCTCCCAGGCGTGCGTGCTGAGACAGGTGTGAGTCCTCTGGCCGGGTCCCGGCAGGTGTATTTATGGACTCAGGTCATGCTGGCAGGGGGCGTGGCCTCGGCCTCGGGATTGGCTGGCCTCCCGTCCTCTCCCTGGCGAGCTGGGAGCAGAGGGTGGGGTGGAGCGGGGTCAGTGAGGCCTCCACAGCCTGGGCAGGTCTGGGGTGGCGCCTGGAGCAGCCGCCGAGTTCCTGGGGCCTCCCAGCCCCCGACTCTGCACCTCAGCCCAGGTCCTCGCACCCTGTGAGCTCACTGATGTCCCCTCCACAGCCCTCGCTCCTGCCCGCCCACCTCATGTACAGGACCCGCTGACATGTGTGTCCATACATGTCACCCCATGTCACACGCATGGCTCTCCAGACCTGGGATTCTGCTGCCTCTGGCCCCGCCCCACAGCTTCTGGGTCCAGGGACTGGGTGAGAGGTCAGGGCTGGGAGCACCCCCAAGGAGCAGGGTCAAAGGAAAGGATGCCTCAGGGACCAGGAGGGTCACAGGACTCGTTTGGGGTGACTGCTGGGGGCACCCTGGGTCACACGCGAGGGACCCTGGAGCCCAAGGAAGCCCTCGACCCCTCGGGGGGCTGGAAATCTTCCCGGGGGTGGGAGCGGTTTCAGCCGGTCAGGGTGGGTCCTGCAGACCTAGGGGCCGGTGGAGGCCTAGGGCCGGGTTTACCCTATGGCACAGACTGCACCCCTCACCCACCTAGTGCCTGGACGTCCCCACACCTGACACCGCCCCCCAGCCCTGCAGTCATGGCAGGTGGCCCCTCCCCTCTGAACGGTGCACACCTGGGCGGACTCAGGGCGTGGGCCCCGCTGCTGACACGTGACCCGACCTTGCCCCTGGTGGGGGTGCTGTGCATAGGGGGCTCGTGGGGTGTCCTTCCTGGCGGATGGCCTGCCTCAACCCCGCCCAGCAGGTGGCCTGGGACCCCCGAGACTGCCCAGCTCCAAGCACTAGAGCTGAGACCACAGGGGTCAGAGGTCAGCATGAGGACCACCAGCCCGAAGAGGTGGGTGCACAGAGTGGGCTGCCTGGGCAGGGACCCCAGGAGGGGCAGCCACGGGGCAGGGGAGATGGGTGCTGAGGCCCCATAGGGAGGCTGAGGGTAGGTGACTGTGGAACCGGGGGTGGGGGGAGGGGCAGCACCTGTCTCTGGAGAAGGGAGACCTGGCCTTCGAGAGCGACCAGGGCACCTGAGGGGGGAGTCCCAGTGAGATGCCTGGCGAGGAGGGGGGCTCTGAGAGGGGGTGGGAAGCCCGCCAGAGGTGGGGGCTCCCCGGCCTGGCCCGTGCGTACGAGGCCCGGGTTCCCATGGGGACCGATTCCAGGAAGTGCCCGGTCCCTCTGCTCCGAGAACCTGAGGCTCCTGGGGACAGTCAGTGGCCAGAGGCGAGGGGAGAGGACGGCCGAGGCATGTGCTGTGGGCGGGGCAAGACCCGGGATCTGTGGCTGCAGGTGTGTCAGCCCGAGGCTGCGTGTCC